TTTTTAGTGAATCCATAAGTTTCTTATTCTTTTTGTTTTTTATTTTTGCAGATTTGCTATTGTTTGATAACGAGTTTCAGTTCACTGAATCTGGATTCAATTTAGTGAATCTGGATTCACTCGCGGCTTCGGTTCGTCAGAGCGGCTTCGGTTCGTCGGAGGGAGCTCAGGGGCAGTGGAGTTGGAGGAGCTCGGTGAGGAGTTAGTGGTGTTTGTGGTGGTGAGAGAGAGGAAGAGAGAGGGGGCTGGTTCAAGCTTTTGGGAAATGGAGGAGAGAGAGAGGAGAACGTGAGAGGAAATTTGTCTATAATGTAAGAGAGAGTATTAAAGGACGTGTATTAAATTTGTATCATTGTTCCAATGTAATCAGTCACCATTAATGCAATGAATTGTTCCAATTTTACCCTTTTCACATTAATGCAGTGTATTAAATTTGTCTATATTTATAATTCTGCCATCGAAATCTAGGCCATTGGATTAGATAGATTGGAGGGTTAGGATAGGTTTTTAGTTCTCTAGGTTTTTATTAGAACCTCTCCCTATATATATATATATATATATAAGTGGATAAAAATTTTGGTGAACAAATGTTTACTTTTCACTTAAGTTGACGTAAGCTCATTTCTCTCTCTATATATATATATAAAAACTCCACAAGAACAAATAAGAGGGAATCAATTCAGTGAGACAAGATATTTAGCGAGGTTCATTCTAAACTTGGGCTACGTTCTTAACAGAACAGAGCCTACCATAATCTACTAGATCTTTATTAGGTTTTTACAACATCGATGCCTCTCTCACAAGTTTTGTCTCTCTTGAGACAGCCTAGACGAATTCTTTGAGATCTCTCCACAGGTCCCTCATTAATCTTGCTATTTCTCACCCTTCAAATAATTAAAAAAAAACAAAACAAAACAAAGGCAAGTTGGACTCAGATGGTGTATTGATAAGACATATATGTTTCATCTTATCAGAAAAATTGTCGATAACCTTCTTCGCATCACACTTTTGTAGACTCGAGTTAAAAACTAACTCCTCCAAATTGTATACTAAACTGTCCAAACTAGGTGGCTCTTTGGGTATGGTTAATGTTGTGCAAGGCGGCAGCTTCGAAGTGACACGAACAATCTAAGAGATTAATCACAACTAATAAGCCAAACACAATATCACAGCAAGACAACGAGTTTAACGTGGTTCGGCAAGTTGCCTACGTCTACGGGGCAAGGAGAGAGGATTTCTTACTATTAGAAATCAAGAGAATACAAACAGAGTTACGTACAAATCTCACCGATCAAACCCTAAATTAATGCTCTAGATCTTTCACAAATCTCCCACAATTGAATGCAGTAATCCTCTCTCAAAGACTGCTAAAAAAAGTTCTTGTTTAACCCTAACTAATCAGGATTAGAGTTATATACTAACTTAAAATGAAACGGGTTGAAAACCCAAAGCCCAGCCCAAACTCATTTGCGGTCGACCGCGTAGGTATCGCGGTTGACCGAGGCGGTCGACCGAACACCCCCGACAGAGAATAAATCGACTACAGGAAACTCACGGTCGACTGCCACGGTCGACCGAACCAATTCCCGAGAGTTAAATCCATTACAGGGTTCGCGCGGTCGACCGCTTTCAGCTCCGAATCCTACGTACTGTGCTTTGTGCATGCATGTTTGCGGTCGACCGCCGCTGACTCGCGGTCGACCGCCAATCTGCCTGGCTATTCTCCTGATGATTTCCTGCACGTCTCTCGCTGCTTCTTCAGTTAATTTCTATTTTTATTTTAAGAAGAATAGTTACAATCAGCATTATGCAGGGCTCATGGAAGTGTGTTAATTTCTTGAACACAAGTTCACACTATATATATACAAACAAAGTCCTCAGTAACTCTAAAGCCACCAATTCATCTGACGTCGAGACCGCGAGACTTTTGATGCGGTGATGGCTTAGTTGATTCGGTGTTTTCCCCACCGGTAATCTCACCGCAGCCGCCCCTAACCTTTTCGCTTCCATTACCACCTTTGGAATTCTATGGATAAGGTTGCCCTATAATCCATCTGTCTGTATGATACCTGTACAATTCAGCGTACGTACCTTTCAAGGTGTAACATTTGCTCATGCTAGGACGAGAAAATGGTCTTGTTGAGTCAGTTTTAATACGGTAAAATACTAAAATTAAACTGAACCATCTTAAATTGGACCCCAATAGAACTGAAACTAGAGTATTTATGACACAAAATAGAAAGTGGTTATCTATCTCATCATTTTCCATTCGAGTGTTTACATTGTTTGGTTAGAAATCTTTGTGAATCCTAAAATAACAGTATTACATTGTTTGGATAGTATAATGTAAACTAGAGTATTTATGACACAAAATGAAAAGTGGTTATCCACCTCACCACTTTCTACAAGGTTTTAATTTTTTATTATTTTTTTGGACACATTTATGACATTGTGTCAGCTTTCCAACAAAATCACTCCTAATTTTGGTGATTTTGCTTTCGGTGACACCTCATCAAAAGGTGTAAGCTTTTCATGTAAAAGAGAATTTAAACCAACAATGTAAAGTGATGAAAGCTGACATTGGGACCCATTTTTTTACACTTTTTATCCTTTTACATGGTAAAAACATACAACCAAACAGCCCCTTAGAAGCCGTGTTGGTTCGGTCCATTCTGCTTGAATTTGGGCTCACTTGGTTGAGAAAATTGATGCTATGTTAACTCAAAGACGGTGTATATATCAAGAAAAAAGTAAAAGAAATATGGGGGTTAAAGAATCGGTGACAAAATGATAATGCAAACAAACTTTAATTATATTCAATTAAGCAATAAAAATAAAAAAATAAAAAATGAAAAAAATTTGTGGATCAACAACGATGTTGGTTTTACTACAGAACCAATGGAACGGTTGGTGGGTTTGGCCCGTTTGATCCGTTCGTACCGACTAATGCTCACATGCTCCTAGCTCGTGTCAATGTGTGAATTGGGTTTGCTAAATGCTGAGTAGGTCGGATTTGAACAGACTTGGATTGTCTCCTGAAAGCACTGTCCTTTTGAAGTGTAGATATAAGCACTATTCAATCAAACTTTTATATGTATGCATGCAGATGAATTTTGTTCAAGATGTATATACTAGGTTCAAATCATTTTGAAAAACTCATACTTAGAAATCATATTTGCTTGCGATGAATATTGAAGAAGTGACGCGGCGTGGAAGTAAAAAAAACCTCGGAATCCACCAATGATGTTCTTTGAATCCACCAAGAACAATCTCCGAATCCACGAAGAACATATTGAAAGAGAAATTTTATTGATGAAAATATATCCCCTCTAGGGCTTACAATACTCTGCTTAAATAAAAAAAACAAGACTCATACTATGAGTCAAATTTTACCAAAAATAAAAATAACAAAACTCTTCCTAAAAAGACTTCTTAAGATTAGGGAAGTAAATCGGTCAAATTTGGGATCAAACGGAATTTGCTTCCTAATCAAAACAGACTCCTAAAATATTACAAAAAATAGTAAAAAAACTGACAAAAATGCTGATATCTCTCAATCCGGAGGGAATTTGGCAAAACAGACGGTAGCAAACTAAACTTTGGTCAGTTTGCTTGGCCCCATCTCAAAAAATACGTGATTTTTATATATAATTCATCCAATTCCAACTTACGGTTTGAAAGATATGACCCGTTCTTCGCGGCAAGTTATTTTCCTCAACCGGGTCCGCGTTTGGGCTTGTGTCTGTCCCGCTTCCACATAAATATATCCGCCGTGTGTTCTGCATCAGTCCCCCTATGCTTGATAAGAGCTCGACCCCGAGCTTATACTTGCATGAAGAGTTGTTTCTTCTGGCGGGTAATACTCAAATAAATATGCAACATTAAAGCTAGGAGAAATAGCCAAATTTGTAGGAAGTTCAACAACATAAGCATTGTCGTTAATCTTCTTCAGTATTTTGCATGGACCATATTTGTTATTCTTCAGCTTGTTGTAGTTGCCCACTGGAAAATGCTCTTTTCGCAGAAACGCCATCACCATGTCTCCCTCTTCAAACACCTTCTTTCTCCTGTGTCGGTCAGCATCGGCCTTATATTTAGAATTTGACTTCTCTATCTTCTCCTTCACTTCCTATATGATAGCACGTATCTTTTCGGCCATATGATCTATAGGAGTACTCTATCCTGGAAGCTTAGGCAGTGAAACTAGATCAATATAATGATTCAGAAGCCTTCCATCACTACCACATGTTTGCTCTAACGCAACGGTTCAAAACCGTTGCGCTAGCCATGGAACCGTCGCCCTTGAGCAAGTGCGACGGTTCTCAACCCGCCTCATATGCTGCCGTTGCCCTACCTCTACCGTAACGGTTTTGAACTCTATTGCGACGGTTTTTTGAACCGTTGCCCCCGCATCTAACGCAACGGTTTTAAAAGGTAAGCGGTTTTTAAGCCATTGCAACGGTTTTGATTGAGCTATTGCAACGGTTTTTAAGCTATTGCAGCGGTTTTGATTGAGTTATTGCAGCGGTTTTTTTTAGATATTACAACGGTTTTAAAAGACCATGCAACGGTTTTAGTAGGCTAAAGCTATGGTTTTGATAGAGCTACGGCAACAGTTGGAGCTATTGCAACAGTTTTAAAAGACCTAACGCAACGGTTTTAGTAGGCTATAAGTATGGTTTTGATAAAACTACGGCGACAGTTGGAGCTATTGCAACAGTTTTAAAAGACCTAACGCAACAGTTTGGATTGAGCTATCGCAGCGGTTTTGATCGAGCTATCGCAGCGGTTTTGATCGAGCTATCGCAGCGGTTTTGATCGAGTTATTGCAACTGCTCAATCGAAGCTGTTCTTGGTTTCCTACGTCAAAATAATTATAGTATTCAATTACCTGGACAATCTTTTTAAGAACATGACCAAGTCAAATTTTAATACACAATATAAAAGTGATTATGTTGAGCATAATCAACCATAATGATAAGTGCCAATATATATCAGTATAGTATAAAAACTACAAAGTATTAAATCCACACTACCAACATTTCAACTCAGAAAATATCGTACCGAACTAACATTCAAATAATGTACATCAACATTTGATTACAAAACATGAAACTTCTCGGTCAAAGACTATATTCCCTATTTGTTTCCAAAAACTTGTTCCTCAATGTCAAATACTCACTAGGAACCTGTCAGTATCAATCTCAATCTTGGCTTTCATCATTTCTGTACCTGTGTAAATTTCCATGAATCAGCATAATTTTTGCAATGATGATAATAAAATTGGAGAAAAAAGATGTTTGAAAAGGAAGTTAAGAGAACAATGTACATCATGCTTGTTTGTTGCCACAACCAAATCCAACCATCAAGAAACAAAAACCCTGTAAGCATTTTGCGGCTTAGTCTGAATATAGACTGTGTGTGCATTTTGTGGAACTTGTGGATGAGCTAGGGTACATTTGACAGAATAGCGAGTTCATCTAAATTGATCTTGAAAAAATTAACCATATAAATGTTAAATACAATACAAATAACTTGAAAGAATGCATGTCAGCTATTGCTCAGGGCTTGCGGATATAGCTCAGCTGGTCCTTTGTTATATGAATCAATGACTCGGAAATGGCTTTGCACATCAGCTTCCAGACTACCTGCCTCACAAATTCGAATCCAACCAAACAATGAAAGGAACTCCCTAGCCACTCATGAAGGCTGGGAGCTCTCCACTTTATTCATTTATAAAAGGAAAGAGAAGAATAATAAAATTGGAAACGAGACATTAGTGGAATGAATATTTTGGGGTTAATTGTGGATAGACCCTTTGTATTATCATAGAGCAAGAAGAAAGCAACAAGGAAAAAGAAGAAGTAACTGAAACGAGTCAAGAAAAAACTACAGAAACCAATTCAAGAGCTAAGAAGGCTAAGAAATGTCGAAGTGTAAAAGGTACTTGCCTCTTCATGATCTAGAACACTAGCAGCCTCTTCAGGAAGTTTAGTACCCCCTTTAAACCTGTCAACAAATTTGTTTTTTATTTTTTATAGGCATTACTGATAATAACCTTATGAAACAAACATTCTAATCTCAGCTTCGAAAATAAACTGCAGTCTATCAACAGCAAGGATGCAGAATTGCAAAGAAGGAGAAAAAGGAATACTTAGCTATGCAGCTTGTCAAAATCTGCATCATTTCACATAACAATATTAAATCTCTTTACATATTTATATTTCTCTCACTTTTTTATTAGATGAACCAGTTCCTCAAAGGTGATATTCTTGTCTTAAACATTCAAATGTTCATACTCCACAGATTATTTCTATGATTAGAATCGTTCAACCGCTTCTCATAATGAAAAGGTCCCAAGTAATAAAACTAGAAAGAAATATGTAAGCAATAGAATGTGCACATTGGTTTGATGTCAAGTGTAAAAGAAAAGGTGTTGGTGAGTTTCTTTACCAGCAATAGAATGTGCACATTGGTTTGATGATATTATCCCCTAAAGCTGAAGTATATATGTAAGCATCTGTCCATGATACCAGCAATAGAATGTGCTGGTGAGTTTCTTTACCAGCAAAAGAATGCTTCAGAAGTTATTATGCAAGCTAGCATGTTACCAAGAAATGAATAATATGAAGAGCTGTTGCTTCAGAAGTTATTATGCAAGCTAGCATGTTACCAAGAAATGAATAATATGAAGAGCTGTTTTATGTCCATGATGAACTAATATAGGATTTTTAAAAGAATTTACCTCAAATGATCTCTTCTCTTTTGAACTTGATCTAGAATCACCAACTGTTTCCATCACTCAAAGAGAAGTGATTAACTAGTAATAAATGAAAAGAATGAACAAGCTACATTCCAAGAGTTTTCATAGGGATGTCCGTGCCGTGCACGTGTCTTCGAGATCCCCAATCTTTGCACCACTCCAATGCAAGCCGAAACGCAGTTCCCAACCCAAGCACAATGAGAACACCTGCATTCCAAGAGTTTTCATCAATGAAATCGAGTTTGTTATAAAGTTTATTGCAAACAGCCTAGGAATCATGCAATAACAAGGTGCTCAATGCCAAAAAAAGGAGAGGCACAATGAATCTCAATTTTCACTTGCTTGCAAAAATGTGCTTTCAGACCAAAGTTGCAATATGTAATATACATGCTCATCGGAATTTTGGGTATTTGACACTACAAATCAGATTCAAGTCTATACAACAGATCAAGCCAGCTCCGTTAGGAATTGTAGCCTCTAGTGATAATTCCTCTCAAAATCAAAGCGGAAAGCAATTAAAATTTAAACATATATCCTGACCACTCCCAATATACTTGAGAAACAGAAATACACAGAAGAGGAAGAACTAAGCAGTAGTCGATTGTTATTGCATTTAAAACTTCAAATTACACGTAGTATGACATAATAAGATCATCTACTTAAAACTTCAAATTACACGCAGTATGACGGAATAAGATCCTCTGCCATGGTCATAAAAAAACAGACAGCAGCAGCAGTGAACTGAAAATAGCACTAGCGTGATAGTACCTTAACTAAAAGTAATTTAACTACGCCACCTCTTCAAACACGGGTGCAAATATCAAAATGAAAAGCAACTAAACAAACTAAAACCACCCCCAAATATACTTTACAAATAGAAATCCACAGGTGATGGAGAACAAAGTGTTAAGACAACTACTATTCTACTGTCATTACAAAACTAAACTTTTAATTAACACATAGTATCATATAATAAAACCCAAGTCATCCATCACGATCATCAAAATAAAACTTTCAATTAACATATATTCCTGTCATCCATGACGATCATCAAGAATATGTAGCAGTAGCAGCTGCTAAGTAAACATGCCGCCTTTTCGAACATAGTACCGTAACTGAAAATACTCAAAGAAACTAAGAAAAGGAATTGTACCATGATACCTTAACAGAGAGTACTCAAATATGCCGTCTTTCTGAACATAAAGAATAAATCAAGCAAATTCCATTATCCAATTGCACCTATTCCATAATTCCCCTCAAAATAAAAATAAAACCAACTAAAGCAAACCACAACCACTCCCAATAATACTTGACAAACAGAAATACATGGGGACAGGGGCGAACAAACAATTAAAAGAATATTATTCCAGTCATAACAAAATAAAACTTTCAGACTGCAAGCATAGTCTCATATGTTAAAACCACGCAGTTAGCAAAGATCATCAACAACAATCATTAAAATAGGTAGCTGGCACATCAGTAAACTGAAAACAACAGCAGAACCCTAGTACAAGAGCCCTCAAAACTCGAAAGTTGTCGCCTTTCAAAAAAGGAAGAGCAGATATCAAGCAAATTCCATTATCTAACTGAAACTATTCAATAATTCCAATAAAAAAAAGGGGAAAGGGGAAAAAAATGAAAAACAACCAAAACAACCAACCAACTAGCAGTAATACTTGAACAGAATTCCAGAGGTAAGGACAAAAAAGTATGAGATCAAAACGAAAATCAACTACAACAAGCCCTTACCACCCAGAAGAACACGAACTCTGAAAAGACTATTATTTCGTCACCTCACTAAATAAACTTTCAATGTACCCATAATATCCTATAATACAGCCCTAAAATTCCCAAAGATCATCCAACACTATCATGACGAAATAATAGTAGCTCGAAGATGAGATCGGAGAGGAGATTTGAGATAACGGCAAACCCTAGAAAACAGGGAGTAGCTCGGCGACGAAACCAACGAGATTGGAGATCGGAGAGGAGCTTAGAGATGAGATCCGATCCGAAAACGGCGACGAGATCTTGGCCACGGCGATTTTAGGGATCGGAAATTTTTGGAGGCGATTTTAGGGATTTCATTTGAGAGAGATATTTGGTTGCGGTCATGGGCTTTACAAACTTTAACTCCCAAACCCACGGACTATTATTAAGCCAGGAACAATTATTTGCTCTATGGTAACGTTTTTCATTAAATGTTGTATTAGCCACTAGAAATCGTTACGATAGATATCTAACGCAACAGTTAGAACCGTTATACCTTAACCGCTGCAATAGATCAATTATGTGGTAGTGCATATACAATCACAAAAGGAGTCTTGCCTATAGTTCGACTCTCCATACAGTTATAAACAAATTTAGTATGTGCCAGAGCAAGATCCCACTATTTCGGATGATCGCCAGAGATAGATCTAAGAAGGTTACCGAGAGTGCGATTTACCACTTCAGTTTGTCCGTCCGTTTGAGGGTGGTAAGCAGTACCGAATTTAATGAAGTATTAAAGCGCTGCCACAAGGTCCTCCAAAAGTGAGATAAGAACTTAGAATCACGATCAGATGTGATGAATTTTGATACTCTATGATGGCGAACTATCTCCCAAAATAAAATATTAGCAATGTTACTAGCATTTGCTGTCTTCTTACATAGAATAAAGCGTGTCACCTTTGAAAATCTGTCAACAACAACAAAAACAGAATCCATGCCTCGTTGGGTTCTAGGGAGTCCCAACACAAAATCCATCGAGATTTCATACCGTGGTGCATCAAGAACAGGTAAGAGTGTGTACAATCCCGTATTTTGGGACTGTCCCTTAGGAACTTGACAAACTGGACAACACCGCACATATTTTTTTGTTCCCTTCTTTAACTGAGGCTAGTAATATTGCTTTTCAATGGAAGCAATCGTCTCACCATGCCCTAAATGCCCTCCTAACCCGCCAGCTTAAAGGTCTTGTATTATCTGCTCTCTTAGTGAACTCTGAGGTATGCACAACTGATCTCCATGAAATAAATAACCATCCTGGATATGAAAACCTCTGACTAATTAATTTTGTTGACAATCATTCCAAATCCCCTTAAAGTCTTCTTCTTATGCATACAACTCCTTTAGGTATTCAAATCCAGTTACTTTTGCCTGCAAAATCACCAACAAACCAGCTCTCCGACTGAGTGCATCTGCAACCTTATTCAACTACAAACTAGCTGTCCGACTGAGTGCATCTGCAACCTTATTCAACTGCAAACCAGCTCTCCGACCGAGTTCATCTGCAACCTTATTTGACTGAGTGCATCTGTAAAGTCACCAACAAACTAGCATGAAGGTCTCGTATTATCTACTCTCTTAGTGAACTCTAAGATATGCACAACTGATCTCCATAAAATAAATAACCATACTGGATATAAAAACCTCTGACTAATTGATTTTGTTGGCAGTCGTTCCAAATCCCCTTAAAGTCTTCGTCTTCTGCATACAGCTCCTTTATGTATTCAAATTCAGTTACTTCTGCATGCAAAGTCACCAACAAACCAGCTCTCTGACTGAGTGCATCTGCAACCTTATTCTGCTGCCCAGACTTGTGCTTCAAAACAAAGGCGAAGTGCTGCAGAAACGTGATCCAATGAGCATGCATATGATTAATGGTAGTCTGACTATTGACAGACTTCAAAGCACGATGGTTAGTATTAAGTAGAAACTCCCACGAGATCAAATAGTGCTCTCAATGTTTCAAAGATTGAACTATGACATATAACTCTAGTTCATATGTAGTCCACTTCTGTCAAGCTTCGCTGAGTTTCTCACTATTAAAAGTAACTGGACACCCTTCTTGGGATAGAACACCACCAATTCCTATGATGGACGCATCACAATAAACTTCAAACACCTTTTGAAAATCTGGAAGAGCAAGCATTGCCGCTGTGGATAACTTCTCCTTGATCAGTAAGCTACGGTCCGCATCTTCTCCCTAATTAAACTTGTCTTTCTTCATGCATTTAGTGATAGGTGCTACAATGCTGCTGAAATTTCTGACATATCTCATGTAGAAAGTTGCTAGGCCATGAAAACTATAAACTTCGCTGATAGTCTTTGGTGTAGGCCAATCTCGAATAATATGCACCTTCTCTTTATCAACATGGATGCCCTCTGTACTAATGACAAAGCCCAAGAATACAAGACTATTGGTCATGAAGTTGCACTTCTTTAGATTTATATACAACTTGTTTTCCTGCAAAGCTGTTAGTACCTCCCTCAAGTGGTCCAGATGCGCAGTCTCAGTTTGACTATAAATGAGGATATCATCGAAGTAAACTATAACAAACTTGCCGATAAAGGGTTTTAATACCTGATTCATCAACTGTATGAATGTGCTAGGAGCATTCGAAAGGCCAAAAGGCATGACCAACCATTCATACAAGCCTTCTTTTGTCTTGAAGGCAGTCTTTCACTCATCTCCTTCTCTAATCCGAATCTGATGATAACTACTCCCAAGATCTATTTTAGAGAACACTTTTGATCCATACAACATATCTAGCATGTCTTCCAGGCGAGGGATAAGAAATCGATACTTCACAGTAATCTTATTAATAGCCTTACTATCCACACACATGCGCCACTCTATGTTCTTCTTTGGGACTAGTAACGCTAGCATGGCACATAGACTCATGCTAGCTCGTATAAGGCCTTTCTGGATGAGATCATCCACCTGTTTCTACAAAATCTCTCCTTTTTTTGGGCTCATCCGATAGTGTGGCAGATTCGGTAGCCAGGATCCAAGGATGAAGTCGATCTGATATTGAATGTCTCAAAGCAATGGTAACTCGGAAGGATGTTCGTCAGACATAACTGCATCAAATTGTTGCAAGAGGGTCTGTACTTTAGGTAAAATTTTGGTGGAGGCAGAATCCTCGTTTCCTGATACAACAAGAGCATAAGCCCCATCAAACTGCTTCACATCTTTTATAAAATCTTCATTGTCAACGACCAACAAAGACTTCTTTTCAGCAACATTTATTTTGATTGACCCCTTCTCTGTTAGAGGCTTGAGCACAACTCGGCGTCCATGTTGGCCTTTTTGTTTTGATGATGTTTAACAAATAATTTACTACTAATGTTGTTTGTCTAGTGTTTGTGTTTTTTTATTTATTGTAGACAAATAATAAGTTGGAGGATGGATGGACTAGAGCTTTCACGATCATATCCAATGGAGGTTGGAGGAATATCAGTATGAAGCCTTGCAATTCAAGTTGAAGATTCAAGTTCAAGCTTCATTCGCAAGTTTATCAAGAAGAGCTTATTAAAGATCAAGATCAAGCTTGGGTAAATTAGTTTAGGTTTTACATTATGTGTGTTGATACTTTAAGCTCAATTATATACACACATACACGTTTTGGTTTTATAGCTTTCAAGGTTAAATATGAAACAATTACACTTATCTATATACATACATACATGTTTCATATTTATCATTTTTGTTTATTCATTTTGTAACTTATCCACATAGAAAACAAGTTTTTGCAAATCATAGATTTATTCACATATTTATTTATGGATAAGTTATTTTACTTTAGTTTAGTTATATAGACATGAAACAAATATACATTCATATACATATTCATATGTTTTATTTTTTTATTGTATTTGGAAAAATATTATATTTATGGATTGAAGACTTGTTTACACTATTTTCATATCTTGTATAAATCTCCAAATCCATTCTAAAGTGTTTTAAAGTTTTGTTTAAGTTATTTTGGCAAAATAAAGTTTTTAACATGCTCATACTTATGTTATTTTGTAATATGTTCAGTTTCTTGTTTACAATCATTTCTCAAAGTTTTATATTTTTCTGAATTTATTTACTATTTTTAAATCGAGTTTAAAAATTAGATTTTTAGTTTTCAGCCTGAGTATCAGAAATATCAGTTCACGATCGACCGCGTGTGTCGTTGCGGCCGACCGTGAAAAGCCCAGAGACTCAGTCTATTTTCTCAGTTGCCTGGCCTCTGCGGTCGACCGCCAATGTTATCGTTGCACAGTAACGACTAGTTTCTAGTTTTGTTTTCTTATAGGTTTTTGGTCATTTTGTGTGGGTTTTGGCTGATGTTTTGGGTTGTTATAAATACCCCATTGCATTTATCATTCCCACCAACCAAGAGAATATTTTAAACAAGTTTAAGAGAGTTTTACAAGGGTTTTAAAGTTTGTTTAAGTATGTTTAAAAAGCTTTTAAGCAATTTTTAAGTTTCGGTTTGTGAAGAGAATTTCACAAGAGCTAGAAGAGATCATCATTTGGTATTTGAGCTTCAACTCATCTCTCTCTCTCTCTCTCTCTCTCTCTCTCTCTCTTGTTATTCATTGGAGAAGTTTTCTAAACTCAAACTCTAGCTTTACATTTATATACTTGGTTGATTATCATTGTTATTAAGCTAGATTTCATATTTGAGTTTAGTTTTTATTTCACTCGTTGTTTACACACACCCACTTGAGCTTAAGTATTTTCATACATAGTATTATTAGGGTTGTGGGAGTTGTAACAATTGAGTGTGAGCCTACATAGAGTTCTCATCTATTATAGAGAACAATTATCTTTGTATTCGTGCTTAATTGTGTAGATCACTTTGTAATACACTAGTATACCGAGAGGAGTGTGTGGTGAGAGACAGGGTTGTCCCAAGAGGAGTAGGGTAGGTAGTAATACCTAGAGGTGGGTTGTAATTCCTAATACTTGAGGAAGACACAGGCTAGAGACCAACACTTAGAGGGTATAGAGTGTGATTGTAAGAGTGTGAGATTGTAAAGTTTTTGATGAACTAGAAAACCGATTGTGAGATATTGTAGGCTGTCTAAAAATCACAATAGTGAAGGTTACAATCTGACGACTTTCACATTCCACAACAGCTAAAGCTAGGATTACTGAGCAACGGTCCTTGCAACGCTCTTAGAAGAGGTTACAGATCAATCAATCCCTTCTAAAACGCGAAAGTCATCCCCGCATCACAATTTTGAGAATGCAGGCGACCCCCGTGTTTCCAAGCTATAACAAGCCAAACGTGAGCGACCCTCGCGTTCATTGGTGTTCAGCCAACACCGACCCCAGCGTTTCCAAGCTATAACAAGCCAAAGCCAACA